GTGGTGGATTCCTGTCCAGCCTATGTCTGATACACCAAATTCTATCTTAGCCTAACTTGAAATTTTTAAGGAAAGGCAGATGATAACTCTGGTAGATAATGGAGAAGAAAACTGTTTTTTTTTTTTATGTGGCTTATGAACAGAATATAACCTTTTATACTCAGCTCAGCATTAAGCTTTATAAAAATGATCACAAAACTATTCACTGCAAGGTTCCTTTTCTATCTCTTTCTTGGTGGATTCAGTGAAGATTATTAGGTCATTGGCTACTTGACAAGATGCTGAAGTGTCAGTGAGCATTCTCAAATGAAAGAATAAGCCTTTTGAAATTGTAATGTTAGGGAATGAGGTGGTTCTCTAGTTATAGTGACCCTTCAGAAATACCTCCATTGTATAAAGTCAGCTTCGCCTGTAGGAATCCTTCCTCTGGACCAATCGACTGCATTATTCAGTCCTCAAAAGTCTGACTGTGGAGGAGACCTGTGGCGACAATCTTGGCTTCACGTTTTAATCACCTGGGGGAACATTAGTAAAAAAAAAAAAGTACTGATGCTCAGCCCCATCTCTCCCACCCCAATTAAATCTGAATGTGGGTCTGGACAAGGCAGTGAAAGCCCTGATATGGGTATTTTTTCAAAATTCCCCAGATTTTGATGTGTATCAGAGTTACAAACTGCCTGTCTAAATCTAAAAGAAATTTTCCATTTCAAATTCCCGAAGCAACTTAACAGCATCTGGTTAGAATTTGAAGGATTTTTTTCCTTCCTTCCTTAGAAGGGGACAACTGGACTGTGCTAATGATATAACCAAGACAGTTGGGGAGAGAAGAGAATGTGACTTATGTAAAGGCCCAAAGATACCCACAGAAATTATTTAAAGGAAGTGAACATTTCTCGCTGAGGGTGCCTCATGGCTATTGTTATGACATTGTGCTTGCCAGGATCTTTTTCTACTTTTAGAGAAAATTGCCTAAGAAGGGATGAAGCTGGACTGTTGGCTTCTCCAGTATCTTGTCCTATCCTCCATTTAGTAAGCTCCAGAGATTTTGAGCCTGTGAAACTTCCAAGAGGAGAACATTTCCAGTCCATGTTCTCCTAGTCCTCCTACTTTGGGTCATGGGGAAGCATTTTATCATTACTTCCCAGCTTTTCATGGCTGACGAGCATGAGAAGCAGTGCGCCATTGCAGTTGAGGGTGGGCATGGGAGACAGACCATCCAGTTCAAATTCTGACACTTGTACTTCCTAAATATTTTTTCTTCTTTTTTTTTTTGTGGTGGTGGGGGTAATTGTGCTTATTTATTTATTTTTAATGGAGGCACTGGGGATTGAACCCAGGACCTTCTGCATGTTAAGCACTGCACTCTACCACTAAGCTATACCACCCCCCACTAAATATTTCTATATTTGGACAAATTACTCAATTTCTCTGAAGCTTGTTTTTCTCATGTATGAAATGATGATGTTAATTTTCAGGGGTATTGTAAGAATGAAATGCAATAATGAATGCAGAATGTAAAGATGAAGTGAAATTGTGGATGCAAAATACTCAGCATACTGCTTGACTCAGAGTCAGTAGTCAAGAAATAATAGATATTATCTTAACTATCTTTTTCTGTCTCCACTTGACTGGCAAAATTAAGCACCCCTCTTTACTCCCACTAAAAAAACATACTGACCGATGACCCTAGCACCCTGAAATACTCTTAAGCACACAGGCTTACTTCTCCTACCAGTTGAGTTATAGTCTTATCAAGAGTATTATTTGTTCCCAAACCTGTTAATGCTAGTTATACTTGTTATTGGAATTTAATTAAATACTAAGTAAACAGATGAAATATGAACATGGAGAGTTGTTTCTATAAAAACTAGGTTGAATGCCTAAATAAACTCAAATTGCAAAAAAAAAAAAAGTAAATGTGGTGAAACAACTAACTGTAACAGATTTAGAATGGTAAAAATCTAGAAGAGTTATAGGCATAGTTTGATTTTAAAATGACTTTAAGTTTTGACTTGGCTTTTGAGAAACGAATATTGGAAGTCACATGGTTGTCATTTATGTGATAATGAGAGGAACCTCTAAGCAGCATGTGTAATAAAGAAAAAGACTTGGTCTTACATCAAAAGATTGGTGATTGAATGTACACTTGCAGAATTTTCATTAAAAATATTGAGACATATATTTTTTTCAATTATCAGACCTTAATCTACCATCTCATCATGTTGGATAAAGACCCTTTACTGAATCATTTTCCAAAGATTTCCCACTAGGAGAAAGGGAGAACAGGTGATTTTGTTTCCTCAGGGCAACTTCTTTCCAGTTAAAATTAGTATGAGATGGACAAGAAATTTTTTTCTCTTGTTTTTGTATGTTTACTACCCCCAAATTTAAACATAAGAATATTATAATGAACCTCCATTCTATAGGTAGAATGATCCATTATCCAGGTTCAACAGGATCTAGATTGTGTAGGCAGCATCTAGACTGAGAAGGAGAACGTTATAACTTTTACCTGCATGGATTACCTTTGCCTGCTTTGTTCTTCATAAGACGGAAATGTATAGATGTTCTCTCTGCGTCTAGTAGCTTTTGTTTAGCATTAAGTTTGTGAGGTTTATCCGTGTCATTTCTTCTAATTCCTATCTAATATTCCCTTGTGTGAATATATCACAATTTATCCATCATAGTGTTGATGAGCAATTGGATTGTTTACAGTTTTTTGATATTGTGAATATTGCTGTTATTTATCTTATGTGCCTAAGGATACATTTCTGCTGGGCTGCAATGAGTGGAATTGCTGGGTCATATTCAGCTTTTGTAAATGTTACTGAGCATTTTTTCCCAGTTCGTTGCCCTAGGATCCATTTTAAAATACTTGCTTTATGGTATCAGCCCGGGAGGTTCAGACAGCACATGAGGATCAGAAGAATCTTTGTGGCAAAGTTCTTAATCTAAGAAGCTCTTGGACAGCAGGTCTGAACCTCCTCTTTCTTTAAGAACTTTCTGGAGAAAATTTTAAATTCCCTAATTGGGGTTAAAAAACAGACCCAAATTTCACGAGAGATGGCTGAGGTCCTGTGTAGAGGATCCAGGATGACATGCTAACTGTAGGATTCTTAAAATGCTATTGGAGGTTTAGGTCATTTATGAAAAATAAGTTTGGGATGTGACTCTGTAGATCC